ACTACGGGGAAACCCAAAACCATAGAGCACCTGAAATTAGAACACTGAGGGCCCAATCCAACTTAGAAGATTCTATTCAACCTTGTAGTAGCGAAGAAACACTAGCCCAAAATAGAAGAGAGGTAAGCAGTGAGATATTGGGTTCTTTTGTAGAACAAACTCTAAAGAGAATAGCCAGTAAGAGGGAGCAAACACAACAACCCTCTAGTAATCATCACAAGAAAAAAGATAGTCTCCAAAGGGTTAAAACAATGGCTAGAACTTCTCTAAGTTTGAAGAAATGAGCTATGTTTAGGTCGGCGGTGGCAGCACTCTCACTTTCAGCGGTAACTGAATTAAGCAATAGGAGACTGCTACTCACTGAGGCTGAAGCATCACTCCAAATTGAGCGCATCCTTGGTGTAAACTGTGAAGAGAATGACAACGAAGTCCTTAGCAAATTAATGGAATTGGAAGCAAAAGACAAAGAAAAAATGAAGAACAGGGGTGGGGCTACTGGTTAAGCAGCTGCTCTAGGTGTTTAGGAGCTGAAAAGTGTCTCTTAATGAAGCTTTTATCTTGGAATGTAAGAGGGTTAGGAAGGCCTAAGGAAAAAAGGAAGCTTAAACAAGTCTTTTGTGAAAGAAGGGTTGATATGGTGCTACTACAAGAAAGCAAGAGACCCATAATTGATGAAAAGTTTGTCAGATCAATCTGGGGTAGAGAACAAATGGATTTCATGGCAGTTGATTCAGCAAGAGCTACTGGTGGCCTGTTATGCATCTGGAACCCAGAAGTATTTGAGCTGGTTGATTGCTGTAGCAATAGGAACTTCATAATTTTATCAGGTACTCTCTATAATAGTTTGATTGTGTGATTTTAAATATTTATGGTCCAAATGATATGGGGAGGAGAAAGGAGGTGTGGGATAGTTTGGTTCGATTAAAGTTGGTCTGTAATAAACCTTGGTGCTTGGGAGGAATGAGATCAAGAATACATCAGAAGGGAAGGGGTGCTCTAGGCAAGATATAGGTATGAGGGAGTTTAATGAGTTAATTGATAAACTTAAAGTGGCTGATTTACCAATGATGGGAAGAAAATTTACCTGGTGCAATTCTCAGGAGGGGGAGAAGTGGAGTAGAATTGACAGATTTTTGCTTAATCTAGAATGGCTACAAATGTTTAATTTTAAGTTTTGGGGGCTACCTTGGAAGGCCTCAGATCACTGGCCTATTCTGTTAATGGAGGATGAGAGAGATTGGCGTCCAACTTCATTTTGATTTCTGAATGCTTGGACCTTACATCCAAAGTTCAGATCCTTTGTGGAAAATATGTGGGTAGAAGCTAATGTGGTGGGATGGGCTGGTTTCAAGTGTCTATAGAAGCTCAAAATATTAAAACTGGCATTGGAAGCAGTGGGCTAAAGAAGTCTTTGGTCATGTGGAGCATAAACTTAATCAGGTTGAAGAGGTGATACATGCACTTGATATTAGTGTTGAAGAAAGACCATTATTTGAGGTAGAGCAAGCTAGAAAAAGAGAGCCAAATGCGTAGCTTGGAAACTAAGTAAAATGGTGGAATGGGCATAGATACAAAAATCTAGAATCAAGTGGTCAACACAAGGAGATAGGCACACAAGATTTTTTTCATATTATGACCAGCTCTAGGAGAATCAGAAACTCTATGTGCTTAATAATAGTTAATGGAACCATTAAGGAGGATCCTATGGAGGTGGGAGTTGGAGTTCAACAACATTTTATTAACCAATTTACTGAATCATGGCTCAATAGACCAAGGCTATCTGGACTTAAGTTGGAAAAAAATAATATTAATAACAAAAAGAGCTTTAGTTTGCAAGGAAGAAAATATACAGAAAAGCACGAGTGAGAAAGAGTTTGAGCGAGATAGAATTTGTTCATTACAATTGATATATCATAATAAAAAATAAATTGAGAGAGAAATAGGAAAAAGAGTTTCAATAAAAAATAAATTGAGAGAGAAATGAGAAAAAAAAGTTTCAGTCATAAATAAATCTCCCTTAGGAAAAACAGTTTCAATTCTAGTTGCAAACAGAATTATTGCTTGATTTGGGTTGTACACACATCGTATGTGCTCGGTTACTAGTATACATAAGGCCTACAGCTAGAAATAATAACGGGTCAGATTTTTTAAAAATTTTGGGTTTAAATTTTTTATTTTCAATTTTTGTTAAAAAAAAGGTTTATAAAAGACAAATAAAATTTAATTTTTTTTCTTTTATTTTATAGAATTTTGTTTATTTTCATTTTTAGTGAATTTTTTTTGATTTAATTATTCAAAATTTAAAAATTGTATAGTTGAAAAATGGATTTAAAAAGTTAAAAGAAAAAAAAAACTCAAAAGAAAGAGGATATTTTGAACTTATTACAAAGCATTAAATTATTTTCGGTAAACTACCAATATGTCATAATAGTTAAACTTAATTCCCATAAAAACTTATTAAAAGAAAGTCATAGTAAAATCGTCGATAAAAATATTTTTTGTGACGATATTTTGCATATGCCGCTAAAAAATGATAATTAAAACTTTTTTGTCACGATTTTTATAAATTATTGCTAAAATTTACAATTATTACTTTTTTCTGTGACGAATTTTTTAAATTGTTGCTAAAAATTAAAAATTAGTAATATTTTTTTTTTGACGATTTTTTTTAAACTATGCTAAAACTTATAATTAGTGATATTTTTTATGACAAAATTTTCAAACTGTCATTGAAAATTAATAATTAGTGACGTTTTTAATCACGTTAATAATATTTGATTAAAAACGTCATTAATTTTCATAGGACCTATTGAACAATAAGTTCACCTATTAAAATCTGTACGTAAATTCCTCAATTATTTTCAACCAAACATTCATTACTATTTTTGATTTGGGATTAAATTTTTTACGAATTATTCATGAGAAAAATTGGGAAATATTTTAAGATCTTTAACATTTTTCTATCAGTAAAGTTGTCACGTCACGTGAAAGTGGGTAACGTATAAAAGTAAACTTAATCGTAATTTGGCAAAAAAAAATTTAGTTAGTTTTTGGAGTTGGGGTTTTAGCTTGGGACTAAATAGTTTATTTGAGTTGATTTTTTTTAATTTTTTTTCCACTTTTGTAAAACAAATAAAATAATTATGGTTTGGATGTAATATTTAGTCTTATTGACATTTTAACTTATTTTGTCTTTTAGTAACTAATTTAATTCCCACCCAACCCAACCCAACCCACACAGCCAAACGAAGCCTTACTCATCTTCATCTTCTCTCTAAAGTCAGCTCTTTCTACCCTTTTCTCTTTCTACAAATCTGGAGTGAAGTCTTGATTCAATTAGATGGTTATGATTCTCATATTTGGTTACGACCTTTCTATTTTGAGTAATGATAGTCTTGGGTTAGTTATTATATGTTATGCACAGTAAATTATAATTTATCAATCATAGAGCACTAAACTTAGGCCTCATTTGGCAATCTTTGATTTTAGTCAAAAAGATAAAAAGTCACTATAAATTATCACAACACTCTCTCTATTTTTCTGCATATCTTTTTGTAAAATATCAAAAAATTACTAAAATAGTCTGTTTCCAAATAAGACCTTCATTTGCAAATAGTATAAATTTAATTTTTGTCTTATAGTGCTTTATGATTGGTAGGTTGTATCTTAGTGCATGTATTGTATAACATACAACAACTAATCCAAAAGTGAAGAAATTCTTCATAATACTTAACATTACTCTTCTATTTTTAGTTATGATTTGATGTATTGTTGGATATGTTATATATTGATATTGATTATGATATTATTTTAATAATGATTTAAGAGGTTTTTTTATTATACCTCATGTCATATTTGGTTATAACTTAATTTTAAAAATAAAAAAAATAAAAAAATTGACTATCATAATATTGAGTTATTCTATTTGTGATAATCAGACTTATAAATGGACCTGTTCACACAAAAGAAAAAAAAAAAAAAAAACTTATAAATGATATAACTTGCATATGGTACACACATTTTTTTGAGGGTTTTTACCATAATAGTACCCCACACTTATACAATCAGACATATAAATGCATACATTTTTGCTAACACAAGAGGTATGGTTTAGTGAGAGGAGAAAGCAACCAAATAATTATCACCAAAAAGATTGCAAGTTCAAATTTCATGAAAGCTAAATATTCCAAACCTTTGGACCACTAAAAGTTTGCATGGTTGTTAACTTCAGGTCTCCAAGATTAGTCGATGTACGTATAAATTGGTCTAAACACCTAATTATAAAATATATATATATATATATTTTGGCTATAAATTGAGTAAAAGGATGAAAATAAATTCTAGAGTGAGAATGAGGTTGAAGAGATGGGACAGATGGGTTGAGAGATAAAACAAAGGGTTTGCACACAGAGAGAGTGAAACTGGAAATAACATTCAACTGTGGTTATGTTCGATAGAATGTCCATTTTTTCTTCCGTTTTTAAATGACGTGGCATCACATCATTTAAGGGTGATTTGGGATGATCTAAATAAGTATACTTTTTGACTTTTTAGGGAATATGGGTTGGGTATGGGTTGGGTTTGAAGTGATACGTTAGAGGAGTGATATGACTTAAATAAGATGATGTGACTTAAATAGAATAGTAACTTTTTAACTTTTTTATATCATGCCAAACAAGACCTTAGTATCTGTAGAACACAAAGTTAACGGAGTGTGTGTAAAACTTGGGTACTATTTGGGGTGAAGTCTTTCTTTTTCTTTTTCTTTTTCTTTTTTGATTAAAATAATCAAAAAAATCAAAAAATTCAATCACACCATTCTTTCCTTAATCCCTTTTGATTTCTATATTAATGAAAGTAGTTGAGTTTATTTAATGTAATTTTAACTAATACTCTTAAGAGTACTGGTTAACAAAATTTTTTATTTTATGAACATATTCAAGTTGTCTTTTATAAACCCATGTTCACTCACATTCTGAAAAAGTAGTGCCATAGTAGAGTTTGAGAAATTATCACTTATGTTGTGCCGCTTCCTTCATACATTGATTCTCCCACTGCATACATACGTACATACATTACTAGTAGTTTGTGTTACTACTGGTAATGGCTTAGAGCAGAGCCCTTATAATAATAATAATAATAATAATAATAATAAGTCCTTTATTTTACTTAGAGCTTCACTGATCTATTGAAAATCCAACTAAATGGTATAGCAAATCTTTCCTTGGATTTTAGTCGAGCTCTCTCCTCCAACCTTCGAATTTTGGGACCTAACCCGCAAACATAATCTTGAGCCTTTCGTCCCTCAGGAGAGAGTGGACTTAGCTTCTCCACACTCCATTTGTCCACCAAAAAATCCAATATATCAGCATAATCCATGGCAGTGTACACACCAAGCCGCTGAGCAATAGTTGAAAAGTGCATGAACAGATCATCATCATGACCATCATACATGAAGTGAGCTGGCATAGTAATTTTCTTCTGCATCATGTCAGCAAATGCTATGACAGCAGCATCAGGATCAACCTCGAACAACTTCTTCATCATCTTGGTGTAAGCAGTTTCATGACGCTTCTCATCAGAGGCTATTGTACCACATATCTGTGCTAAGTTATTGTCACCATAATGTTTGGCAAGCCTGGCTGTGTTACCATGAGAAATAAATGTCGCCCTTTCTTGGAATGATGTGTAAACCATTCCTAGATATGGATTGTTTTCCGTCTTAATATCCTGTATATGAAAATATTTGAAGAACACCATACCCAAAAAAATAAAAAATTAGAAGTATAAACAGTAGCATGAATCAAAATTTTATATATAAAATTCTATGATGTCTTCACCAAGAAAAATCTCAATTCAAGTTGCCAAAATTTAAAAATTTTATATCAATTAAAATTTCACGTCATTATGTATTGCAGTGATTTGACTAAAATTACATTTATATAATACTTAGTGCACATAATTGAAATACAGAAAGAATACAAAAAATATATTGTGAGATATTATTTCAAGTGTGGCCCACATCTTACTCAAGGTGAATATCTATAATACAATACAGTTTTTGTATTCCAATTATTTATACTTAACATTACTATTTTTTATTTATATATTACTACACCATTCGTAACAAAGTGGAAGTAATGAATTTGTGAGATGCCAAGTTTGTGCAAGGAAAGGAATAAATAAGAAAGGTAAAGAACCTACCATTCCGGACCCAATCAGATACTGGACAGTCTTCTCGATTTGATTCATGTCAACACGGCCAGAAAGATAGAGGTACTTGTTGAGAAGATCTCCATGCCTGTTCTCTTCAGCACTCCATCCCCTTATCCAATCAGCCCAAGGACTGAGGCTTGACCCTGTTTCATCCCCAATTCCATCAAACCCATTAAGCATGCTCTGGTAACTTGGAAGAGCTTCTTCAGTGATCATGTCTCCGACCAATACTACAAAGTAATCGTCTGGAAGCTCCATTGCTCTCTCTCTCAGTTCCACCACTTGTTCTAAGAATTCATCCGATGTCGGGTCTGGAAGAAAGTGTTGTGGTTGCCAGCATTTCTCCACTGGTTTTAGGTGAATCAACACATTTGTTGTAACCCAGTCTTCCAAGGATTTGAACAACTCTATCTTTTCTGGAGGCATTGAATGAGTTACTGTTGATACGGAATGTTGTGGCTTCTTCAGCGCATGGCCGAGAGGCTTTTCCAAATTACCTGGCAGTGCCTCCCTACAAAAATAAATAATGAGAGAGAGAGAGAGATGGTGGATTAGGACTTGCTACTCCAACAAGCTCTCATGGTTCAAGATAGTAACATACGAAACGATAGTATATGTATATATATATATACGATGGTGTTACATGTACCAAATTATTTAAGAGAGTCGTGCACACAATATATAAGGTGGTGATATATATATATGGTAGATTGAGACTTACTTATACAATAGTTTAATAATTTCTTTTTTTAGGAGAGTACGTGTTAAATTATTTTGTGTACGCAATATATAAGAGTTTTAATAATCAAACTCTTTAGTTTTTAAAAGTAAAAAAATTATTGTTAAAAATATTTGGCAATTAATTTCTGTTATTGCGAGGATAAGATTGTTTTAAAAACTTAAAAAAGAAAATTAGTGATAAAATTTTAAAAATAGCACTAATAAATATATTTTCAAGAACAAAATAATTTATAGTAAAATATATTTAATTTTTGAGACAATTTGGTCCAAAATATATAGCAATTGATAAATTGATGAATTAGGAAGATGTGTTAAATTTGAAAATGTCCAATTTTTACCATATATCTTTTTTAGACATCACATATATATACACATTATATATAGCACCAAACATTCTATATTATAGTTCAAAATATTTTATCCTTATTCTTATGTGTCTGGGAAATGTAATGGATAAGAATATAGAGGCACTGCATACGAATATATAGGCACTGCATTACAACAAATAAGAATTTTTGAAAGTGAATTTTTTTATTTTCAAAATAAAAATTTTAAAATATTTGAGGATCAATTCTTATCGTCGTAAGGATAGTCATTAAAAGGTAATCTCGAAAAGTATCTCTAATAAATGCACTTTTAGAGATAATAAATGATGCCAAATAGATTGTAAATTCATCATTAAATATCTAATTTCATTGCTACAAATACAATAATGACACTTTGGCAATAAAAATATTTTATTCTTAAAAAGTGATAAATTTTTGTCTTCAAAATCTTAATTTTGTTGCAACTCCTAACGGTTGACTGAGTCAAAAAATCTTGAGAATAAGTTCTAAAGTCTTGAATTCAAGTCACCCTAAAGACCATGGAAGAATTGCCTAGTCCTTAACTTCAAAGCTCTTAGATTAGTTGAGCTGCATTCAAGCTAAGTCAAGAGTTATAAAATAAAATAAAATAAAATAAACTTACGTTGTGTTTGGTTGGAGGATTTGAAGAGGGATTTGGAAAGAGAAAATGAAAAGTTTGGTGAAATGTGAATAAAATATACCTACATTTCACATAGTTTCACACACCTTTTCCCTTTCCCTTTCCAAATCCCTCCTCAAATCCCTCAGTCAAACACAGCATTAATTTATTGAATGGAGAACTAGGATTCTCTAAAATAAAATAAAATAAAATAAATATAATAATTTCCCAATGATTTGAAAGAGAGTGACAAACCAAACCATTGCAAAATTATTGCTGGTCCTCAAATATAACAGAAGAGCTCTAGTATAAGCATAATGCACAGCATGCTTCTGTTTTCTCTATCTTCGACAACAAAAAAATAAAAGCAATAACAAAAATGACATCAAAAGCATATATTCAGTCAATTTCAAACTTCCACATATTAGAGGTAGAGAAGAAAATATTAGTGTATCAGTATATCTAACTAGTAACTATTAACAACAAACCCACCTGGAGCTGGTGGACCTGGTGGATACAAGATGGGCCTTTGGGCAGTGAACAAAGGAAGGTAATTTCAGAGTGTAAAAATCTTGATGACAACTAAGATTCAAAGTCATTTTTCTCTATTTTGAAGTGTACTACTCCTTTCTTCACTGAAACAAGATGGGATGGATTCAAAGGAAGCTGCAGGGCCTGATTTATAGATATGCAGAAGTGTACGAATGTCTTCATAATTGCAAGCTTCCAACGACCACCCACACATAATTTATATTTAGAGTAAATATCATTTTTTTCTCAAACTATCACGCGTTTTTCACGTTAGCTCCTATATTTCAATTTATTACTTGAACTTTTCACAAATTGATCAATTAGATCCCTGTCGTTACCTTTCATCCACAATTGGACGGAATGTGTTGATGTGAGGGGCAAATTGATTTTTAATTTAGGAGGTAAATTGATTTTGTAAGGTATAGTTTGGGGGGTAAATGAAATTTTAAATGCCACGTTAGCACATTCTGTCCAATTGTAGACAAAAGGGGATGGCAGGGGTCTAATTGACTAATTTGTGAAAAGTTCAAATACTAAATTAAAATAAATCGCAGTATGGGGGTCAACGTGAAAAACACGTGATAGCTTGAGAGACAAAATTATATTTCCTCTTATATTTACACTCAATTTAGATACACTACAATAATTTTTTTTATTTTTTTTTTATAACATTCTTTTAAAAATGCTATGAAATCATGAAATGTGATGCATTTGTGGCATTTTGTAATAAAATATAACATTTCAGTTTTTATAACATTTGATATAATTTTTCAAAAATATTTCGTAACTCGAATTTGTATAGCCCGAATAGCTCGAATGTATCAAAAACGACGTCGTTTTACCCCCAAAACAACGTCATTTTGAAACATTCGAGCCATTCTGACTATGAAAATTCGGACTACCAATCATTGTTAATAATTTTAATAGCTTTTCATACATGTGAAATATTCCATAAATTCAAGATTTTAAGAATTCATCCGATGTCGGGTCTGGAAGAAAGTGTTGTGGTTGCCAGCATTTCTCCACTGGTTTTAGGTGAATCAACACATTTGTTGTAACCCAGTCTTCCAAGGATTTGAACAACTCTATGTTTTCTGGAGGCATTGAACGAGTTACTGTTGATACGGAATGTTGTGGCTTCTTCAGCGTATGGCCGAGAGGCTTTTCCAAATTACCTGGCAGTGCCTCCCTACAAAAATAAATAATGAGAGAGAGAGAGAGAGAGAGAGATGGTGGATTAGGACTTGCTACTCCAACAAGCTCTCATGGTTCAAGATAGTAGCATACGAAACGATAGTATATATATATATATACACGATGGTGCTACATGTACCAAATTATTTAGGAGAGTACGTGCACACAATATATAAGGTAGTGCTATATATATATGGTACATTGGAACTTACTTATATAATAGTTTTTTTTTTTAGGAGAGTACGTGCTAAATTATTTTGTGCACGCAATATATAAGAGTTTTAATAATCAAACTCTTTAGTTTTTAAAAGTAAAAAATTTACTGTTAAAAATATTTGGCAATTAATTCCTGTTATTGCGAGGATAAGATTGTTTTAAAAACTTTAAAAAAAAAAATTAGTGATAAAATTTTAAAAATAGCACTAATAAATATATTTTCAACAACAAAATAATTTATAGTAAAATATATTTAATTTTTGAGGCAATTTGGTCCAAAATATATAGCAATTGATCATTAAATGTCCATTTTTCTCTGTTGGAAGTGCTTCTTTTGTGATCATGTCTCTGACCAAGAAGCTTGTTCAAATTACCCGCTTCCCTAAATTAAAAATATGTAATGAACTTCTATGAAGCCGTTTGTTCCAGTCAACTATCTTGATCGTGGAATAGCATTGAAAAATAAGAATTCAACTATCTTGATCGTGGAATAGCATTGAAAAATAAGAATTCATGTTATCAAATGATTTAGGAAAATGATATACTTTGATACACTGTCATATTATTGCGTTTGAAAAAATTAATCTAATTTCTAAGCTTGAATAGATTTAAAATGAATCTACTTTTGGTATTTTATTGAATAATGATGTTGTTCCTCAGGGGTGAAAAAACGATGTTTTTATAATTTTTACGTATAAACTTTTGGATAAATTGATGAATTAGGAAGATGTGTTAAATTTGAAAATGTCCAATTTTTACCATATATCTTTTTTAGACATCACATATATATACACATTATATATAGCACCAAACATTCTATATTATAGTTCAAAATATTTTATTCTTATTCTTATGTGTTTGGGAAATGTAACGGATAAGAATATATAGGCACTGCATAAGAATGTATAGGCACTGCATTACAACAAATAAGAATTTTTGAAAGTAAATTTTTTTATTTTCCAAATAAAAATTTTAAAATATTTGAGGATCAATTCTTATCGTCGTAAGGATAGTCATTAAAAGGTAATCTCGAAAAGTATCGCTAATAAATGCACTTTTAGAAATAATAAATGATGCCAAATAGATTGTAAATTCATCATTAAATATCTAATTTCATTGCTATAAATACAATAATGACACTTTGGCAATAAAAATATTTTATTCTTAAAAAGTGATAAATTTTTGTCTTCAAAATCTTAATTTTGTTGCAACTCCTAATGGTTGACTGAGTCAAAAATTCTTGAGGATAAGTTCTAAAGTCTTGAATTCAAGTCACCCTAAGGGACCATGGAAGAATTGCCTAGTCCTTAACTTCAAAGCTCTTAGATTAGTTGAGCTGCGCGCAAGCTAAGTGAATAGTTATAAAATAAAATAAAATAAACTTATGTTGTGTTTGGTTGGAGGATTTGAAGAGGGATTTGGAAAGGGAAAGGGAAAAGTTTGGTGAAATGTGAATAAAATATACCTACATTTCACATAGTTTCACACACCTTTTCCCTTTTTCTTTCCAAATCTCTTTCCAAATCCATCAACTAAACACAGTATTAATTTATTGGATGGTGGACTAGGATTCTCTAAAATAAAATAAAATAAGTATAATAATTTCCCAATGATTTGAAAGAGAGTGACAAACCAAACCATTGCAAAATTATTGCTGGTCCTCAAATATAACAGAAGAGCTCTTGTATAAGCATAATGCACAGCATGCTTCTGTTTTCTCTATCTTCGACAACAAAAAAATAAAAGCAATAACAAAAATGATATCAAAAGCATATATTCAGTCAATTTCAAACTTCCACATATTAGAGGTAGAGAAGAAAATATTAGTGTATTAGTATATCTAACTAGTAACTATTAACAACAAACCCACCTGGAGCTGGTGGACCTGGTGGATACAAGATGGGCCTTTAGGCAGTGAACAAAGGAAGGTAATTTGAGAGTGTAAAAATCTTGATGACAACTACGATTCAAAGTCATTTTTCTCTATTTTGAAGTGTACTACTCCTTTCTTCACTGAAACAAGATGGGATGGATTCAAAGGAAGCTGCAGGGCCTGATTTATAGATATGCAGAAGTGTACGAATGTCTTCATAATTGCAAGCTTCCAACTACCACCCAAACATTATTTATATTTAGAGTAAATATCATTTTTTTCTCAAGCTATCACGCATTTTTCACGTTAGCTCCTATATTTCGATTTATTTCAATTTATTACTTGAACTTTTCACAAATTGATCAATTAGATCCCTGTCGTTACCTTTCATCCACAATTGGACGGAATGTGTTGATGTGGGGGGCAAATTTGATTTTTAAAGTATAGTTTGGAGAGCAAATTGATTTTTAATTTAGAAGGTAAATTGATTTTGTAAGGTATAGTTTGGGGGGTAAATGAAATTTTAAATGCCACGTTAGCATATTCCGTCCAATTATAGACAAAAGGTGATGGCAGGGGGCTAATTGACTAATTTGTGGAAAGTTCAAATACTAAATTAAAATAAATCGAAGTATGGGGGTCAACGTGAAAAACACGTAATAGTTTGAGAGACAAAATTATATCTCCTCTTATATTTACACTCAATTTAGATACACTACAATAAAAAAAATACTTTTTTATAACATTCTTTTAAAAATGATATGAAATCATGAAATGTGATGCATTTGTGGCATTTTGTAATAAAATATAACATTTCAGTTTTTATAACATTTGATATAATTTTTCAAAAATATTTTGTAACTCGAATTTGTATAGCCCGAATGGCTCGAATGTATCAAAACGACGTCGTTTTACCCCCAAAACAAAGTCATTTTGAAACATTCGAGCCATTCTGACTATGAAAATTCGGACTACCAATCATTGTTAATAATTTTAATAGCTTTTCATACATGTTGTGAAATATTCTGTAAATTCAAGATTTTAATTACAATGTATAAATGCTATAAATAAAAATATAACGCTATCATAAATATTAAAATGAAAAGAATTAAAAATTTTAGCGCTAAACATATGGCGCCTTTATTTTTCAGCAAACCCACTCCCAAATCAGTTTTCTATTTTTTCTCTCATTGTGATGATCAACAATAGTACTTCTAGGACTGCTGCTTACTCTGTGATTCTGTGACGCTTTGTGATTTTCAGTGTTTAGTTGTTTTAAATGTAATGTTCTCTCTACCTTGCGATTTCCTTCATCAATTGTTATATGTATATTAATTATAGTTTCTATTTTTTTTTTTTTTGATATGAAATCCTCTAAATCATCAATTAATCTCAAGTACAGCAGAAAGAGATAATTTTGAGAAGAGATTGTAAGTATTATTTGTCTAATTTTCTTACTATAATGATTGATACATGCATGTTGTTTTTTGTGTATAATTTATGGGTTGGATTGATTTTGCTTGTGCATAAATATATATGGATTGGGTTTTAATTTTGTTGATTGTATAGATTGGGTTTTGATTTTATGGGTTGGATTGATTTTCTCTCTCTCTATATATATATATATTCTAAAACAGGAAACAAACCCAGATTATTACACAAGAGAACAACTCTACACTAAAAGCTCATAATTGCAATTTGCAATTGGAAGTTTAGTCCATTCAGCGTACCCATACCCTACCCACTTCTTTCAGTCTCATTTATTACCTAAGTTCGTAGCTCCCCACCAAGATCTCATTTATTATCTTAGTTGGTGGCTCCCCACCATTAATCATGGTGTTTGCAACTTGCATATATAATAAATAGTAAATCAAATAAATAAATAAAACATTTGATATATGTTGTATGTAATTCAAATAGTAAGAATATAGTTTATCAAATTTACAGTCTTAAGTTCAAGTCACACACTCTTTTCTATTGTTTTTCTTTTTCTTTTTGGGAATAAAAAATTAGACACTTGACATAAAGAAAAAAAAAAATTCAAGACACCAAATAGATACTCACATATATAATGCTATATATATAATTTCTTTCAATCTTATTTACTAGACTAGCAATCACGGCTAAAGCTTACTACTGCAATTCTTTGGGTTGAAACGAGTAATGAATGTCGTATGAAATTTGGTTGTGTATTTGGATCATGGATTTTGATAGTAATTTGGGAAGGAAAATGAAAAATATGGGTGAAATATAGATATATTTTATTCACATTTCACTCATATTTTGTTTATTTTTAAATCCCTATCCAAATTTATGATTCATACACAACCTAAAAAATTGGACTTTGAAGTGATTTATGAGGGTTTTTTTTTTTTTTTTGGTGGGGGGAGGGGGGGATTTGCAAGGTGTTTAGATACAACTAATATATTAAAAAAAAAAAATACAACTTTGAAAGTTGTAGTCTAATTTTTATTCTTAGATATGTATTGAGAGGGTAATTTTTGGTAAAAATTGGGCCGAGCTGCGAGATGGACTTTACGGCCCAAAGTACGAAGGACTGGATAAAAAGGCCCAATATAAATGTAAAAGTTACTCCGGTCCAAGAGTGAGAAAGTTACTCCGGTTCAAGAGTGATAAAGTTACTCCGGCCCAAAAGAGATGTTGAGTTACTTCGGCCCGTGCAACTTTTCTAGTTAGGCCGGTCTCAGAGATAGTCTGGTCATGATGTATTCTGGGTAGGTCGGTCGGAATGTTGCTATTCGGTAGATCGGTCCAAACACACCATGGTTCGTGCATGAGAGAACCGAGATATGGTGCAGCAAAAGGAAGAACCGAACTACTGTTAGTACGGCCTACTCTGGCTCAGTATAGCCAGGTTTATCTCGGTCGTATGGCAGTTCAGCCATGGTGAAAACCATCCCACTTGGTTTAAGCAGTGGGGGGGGTGTAAAAGGATAAGCATTATCCTTAGGAGTATGAATCCTAGGAGGACTCTGCATGGAGGAATAGAAATCCTACTAGGATTGTGCCACTCGAAACTTATAAAAAGCTCACAAACATCACCTTGGAGAAGGTAACACACAACTTTACTTTCTGAGTACATAGAGCTTTGTCTATTTGTCAAGTTTACTGACTTAGGCATCGGAGAGGTTTCCGGCACACACCTGCCGGCTAGCTCACGTTTGTGTTTTCAGGTGATAAAGCGATGTCGTAACGGAGGAGCGTGGACTTAGTCAACAGGATTATACGAGAAGGTGTATTTCTTTCCCGTACAATTGCGGCACACACCCGCCGGCTAGCTCACGTTTGTGTTTTCAGGTGATAAAGCGACGTCGTAACGGAGGAGCGTGGACTTAGTCAACAGGATTATACGAGAAGGTGTATTTCTTTCCTGAACAATTGGCGCCGTCTGTGGGAAGAACAGACAGAACAAAACCTCTTGACTAAGCTTCTCCTTTTCTCAATCAATGGCACACATTGAGGAACTACCGCAGTAAGGAGAATATCCCAGGCCATAACCCAGCTATACAATAGAACAAAACAAAAGGCAGCCAGACAGCTGCTACAAACAAGGCTACCAGAAAACCACAAGGCTATCAAGGCTACCAGACAGCAGCTCTAACAGAGGGCCACAACCTTGTTCGCCCACCACCGTCCCGACCCTAATGGAAAGGATTTGAGAGTTTTTTAATAAGGTAGGATTGGCATTTAGATGAAAATGAAATGAAAAACTTGAAAGGAATTGGACAATGTTAGGGAATGGTAATCCCTTCCCATCCCAATTATACAGAGATAAATATATATTTATTATTGATGGATCATATAAATGATCTTTTTTTTAAAAAAAAAAAAAAAAAAAACTCTTTTTTTTTTTTTTAATAATCAAACTCTTTAGTTTTTAAAAGTAAAAATTTACTGTTAAAAATATTTGGCAATTAATTCCTGTTATTGGCGAGGATAAGATTGTTTTAAAAACTTTAAAAAAAAAAATTAAGTGATAAAATTTTAAAAAATAGCACTAATAAATATATTTCAATCAACAAAATAATTTATAGTAAAATATATTTAATTTTGAGGCAATTTGTCCAAATAATATAGGCAATTGATCATTAAATGTCCATTTTTCTCTGTTGGAAGTGCTTCTTTTGTGATCATGTCTCTGACAAGAAGCTTGTTCAAATTACCCGCTTCCCTAAATTAAAAATATGTAATGAACTTCTATGAAGCCGTTTGTTCCAGTCAACTATCTTGATCTGGATGAATAGCATGAAAAATAAGAATTCAATATCTTGATCGTGGAATACATTGAAAAATAAGAATTCATGTTATCAAATGATTTAGGAAAATGATATACTTTGATACACTGTCATATTATTGCGTTTGAAAAATTAATCTAATTTCTAAGCTTGAATAGATTTAAAAATGAATCTCTTTGGTTTTTTATTGAATAAGATGTTGTTCCTCAGGGGTGAAAAAACGATGTTTTTATAATTTTTACGTATAAACTTTTGGATAAATTGATGAATTAGGAAGATGTGTTAAATTTGAAAATGTCCAATTTTTACCATATACTTTTTTTAGACATCACATATATATACACATTATATATAGCACCAAACATTCTATATTATAGTTCAAAATATTTTATTCTTATTCTTATGTTGTTTGGGAAATGTAACGGATAAGAATATATAGGCACTGCATAAGAATGTATAGGCACTGCATTACAACAAATAAGAATTTTTGAAAAGTAAATTTTTTTATTTTCCAAATAAAAATTTTAAAATATTGAGGATCAATTCTTATCGTCGTAAGGATAGTCATTAAAAGGTAATCTCGAAAAGAATCGCTAATAAATGCACTTTTAGAAATAATAAATGATTGCCAAATAGATTGTAAATTCATCATTAAATATCTAAATTTCATTGCTATAAATACAATAATGACACTTTGGCAATAAAAAATATTTTATTCTTAAAAGTGATAAATTTTTGTCTTCAAAATCTTAATTTTGTTGCAACTCCTAATGGTTGACTGAGTCAAAAATTTTTGAGGATAAGTTCTAAAGTCTTGATTCAAGTCACCCTAAGGGACCATGGAAGAATTGCCTAAGTCCTTAACTTCAAAGCTCTTGAATTAGTTGAGCTGCGCGCAAGCTAAGTGAATAGTTATAAAAATAAATAAAATAAACTTATGTTGTGTTTGGTTGGAGGATTTGAAGAGGATTTGGAAAGGGAAAGAAAAAGTTTGGTGAAATGTGAATAAAATATACCTACATTTCACATAGTTTTACACACCTTTTCCCTTTTTCTTTCCAAATCTCTTCCCAAATCCATCAACTAAACACAGTATTAATTTATTGGCTGGAGGACTAGGATTCTCTAAAATAAAATAAAAATAAATAAATATAATAATTTCCCAATGATTTGAAAGAGAGTGACAAACCAAACCATTGCAAAATTATTGCTGGTCCTCAAATATAACAGAAGAGTCTTGTATAAGCATAATGCACAGCATGCTTCTGTTTTCTCTATCTTCGACAACAAAAAATAAAGCAATAACAAAAAATGATATCAAAAGCATATATTCAGTCAATTTCAACTTCCCACTATTAGAGGTAGAGAAGAAAATATTAGTGTATTAGTATATCTAACTAGTAACTA